TGCTGATCTAGCCCTCTCCCGGTGGGATCTCCCTCCCTTTCCAGTCCCTCCCAGCTGGGAATGTGTTTTGCCATCTAATCCTCAAGGCTGTTGCGGGTTGGGCTGAGCAGGGCGGCACAGAGGGATGTATTTAGTTACCGAACCGAGCAGTTCTTGCAGAGCACATCTGGAAAACCTGTGTGATACACGGGGCGTGTTTCTTTGTGCCACAAGTTTTTCTCTTGGATTAGCAGAGCTATCTCATAGATAATGTTATTGTGCGGTTAATTAGAGAGGAGGGGATCCCCTGCTTTGGGATCTCGTTGGCAGGTACGAGGCTTTATTCCGAGGACAAGCGTGCTGCCGGCCTGGCTGCCAGCTCTGTGAGCCGGGTGTCCCGGGGGCTTTCCCGCTTTGATCGAGTTGTTGCCTCTGACTGTCCTGCTGCCGGCGTAGCGTGAGCTTCAGCCTTCACTGCCTGAGACATTACAGCTCTCCAAATAGTTTTGTTCCCCAGAGCAGCGGAAATACCGTGCCATATAAGCGCGTTATGTATTTATGTACGTGTGCGTGGCCCCCAAGCTGTCGCGGTGTTTTCCGGTGTGCTTCTTCCCATGTGCTTGCACACCTGCTGGGAGAGCTGCCTGGGTTTTCCCGTGGTGCTGCGGTAGATGCGGTGGCAGATGGGTCACTGGTGACTCCACGGGTGCCTTTGTGGGTCCCTTCCCTGATTTCTCACTCTCCCTTTTCAGCCTGTACTGAGCAGCAGTTCAAGTGCCAGAATGGCTGGTGCAAGCCCAAGTTCTGGGTCTGTGACAACGTGAACGACTGCGGCGACAACAGCGACGAGCTGCAGTGCAGTAAGTAACTCACTCCGCAGGCAGGCAGGAAGGCAAGAAACCCGAAATGCCAGCTGGCCGCAGGGCATGGCGAGGCCTCGCCTGGTACGGCTTCCTCGAGCCCACGCCAGAGCCCCGAGTGAGAGCTCGGAGGAGAGAAACGAGGATGAGCAGAGGTGTAGGAAACGTGGGGTTTTGGGAAAGAAAGGGCTGCATAAATTGGTGTTTCTGTGCAATTTAGAGAAGAAAAGAGTGGGAACGCAGGAAATAGGCGTTTGTACGTTGTAGCTGCAGAGGCTTCACTTGTCTCGGGGGGAAGGGAGATGGACGCAGCCACGTGTTGGCAGTACTGTGGGATTTGTGCCCTGCCCTCTCTCAGGAGCCGCTCTTTCCCCAGGCTGCACAGCTGACAGCTTCAAGTGCAACAGCGGGAAGTGCATCCCCAACGCGCAGAAGTGTGATGGCAAGGATGACTGCGGAGACGGGAGCGACGAGGGCAGCTGCAGCAGTGGTGAGGACGGGCCTTTTACGGATTTTTCTCCTGGCCGCGCATCCTGGCGTGGAATTTTTTCACGGGGTGGCAACGTCCTGGGGATGAACGACTTCTTCCCCAGAAACGCGGCTGACCCTTCTCCCTTCGTCCTGCCTGCAGCGGTCCGCATCACAGTCCCCTGCAAGGATTACATGTACAAATGCCGCAGCGGGAGCTGCATCAGCAAGCAGAACCCGGAGTGCGACGGGGAGCAGGACTGCGAAGACAATTCTGACGAGGACAACTGCGGTGAGTACTCTGGGGAAGGGGGGACACGGGTTGCTGGGCTGGGCCTCTTAGAGAAACACTTAATAGTGGTGGGGAGAGCCCCTGGGCTTTTCTGTGCGATAGCTTGATCTGAAAATAGCCAAGCTAAGTAGTGTGTGGAGCGTCTGTGGTGTTTAACGTGTTTAGAGAGGGCTCGCACAGATGATACCGGAGTTTGTCTGCACTTTCACTGACTTGGCCGGTAAATATTTTAGCAAATTTAGCCATTGTGCTGATGGCACCAGCTGTCCCTGACTTGTGCCGTAGGAGATGTCCCAGAGGAACGAGGGGGGGAGCGTTGAGCGGGAACAGGAATAACCGAGTGCCTCTTCTCCTTCTCCACCGCAGACTGCGGGATCCGCTCCTACACGAGGAAGTCGCGGATCGTCGGCG